CCAGAACAGGAGAATCAACACACCTACATCAGGTATGGCTTGCATCACTCCATCTATCATTCTGCTGTTTGATGGCATCATGCCAGAAGCTGACACATCTGCAGCTGTTGGAAAGTTGCTAGGTATAACTAGATGTGTTAACATTATATAACGCTAACCCATAACCTCCATTTTTTTAAAACTTATTTTCCTTGCCTTTTAGTTGTGGAATTCCACAAACTTTCTTCAGCCCTTTTGTTTTTTTTCCCAAAGTGTGAGGAGCAATCTTCGCTAGCAAGCACCATCCCTAAGTATGGAAATAATTTATGAAAAGCTAAAAACGATCCCATCCTACATTCCAAGTTTGCGAACTAGAGTTTTTGGAATTGTTCAAGGCCATGGATTATATGCAGCTCGTTGTCAAGTTATTCTAAACCTGATTTAGCTAAATCACCATATCTGAAGATTGAATGGTGGCAAATGTCTATGGAGATTCTCAGTCATCTAGGCCATGGTTGTCCTAAAGGTGCTTTTTTCAAGAGACAACTGAACTGATTTTTCTTTGAAGACTTTATGCTTCTTGTCCAAGAAGTTTCTTCACACCCATTTGCACCACTCAGTTGACCCTGAAGCCATAGATAAACCTCCAGGTGGCCTTAATAAGAATGCTAATGACCAGCTGTCTGCAATGAATATAATTCCTTCCATTCCCCACCATCCAGTCAGAGCTGAAGAAGCTTCTTGGATGAAAAACAGACCAGCTACCTCTTGAAAAAGCACCTTTGGGACATGTCAGGCAAAGCTGTCTAAAGATTGAATTATGGCAACTGGGCTATATTTTTGTTGTTAATTTGAGACATTTCGCTGCTCATCCAAGCAGTTTCATCAATCAAATCAAGTCAGTTAAGCAAAGTCTCATTGGAAGGCACCACCTTTTGCCACACCAACCTCAGGAGTTTCCTCCCCAAAAGGCATTGCAATATGTGGATGAAGACTCTTTGACTTCAAGAGTCTTCAAAGACAAACCATGTGATGTGTTTTGGACAGGGTATCAACTTTCAAACTTACAAGGCAGGATTCATACTTTTGCAAACTCCCAAGTCACATCATCAAGAGGCAGGAAGTACACAGTATTTATATTAGTGGGGAACAGTGGGGGGAGCCTCTAACCCACAACTAGAGATATCAAATCAGGAGGGGGCACACAACCAGAATAATTTTCTGGTTATTTAATAGCCCAACCCATAAATATCCATACCATTCTGTTTTAGGACTGTGATGGGAGCACCTATGGCACATGGAGCCATTTCACCTGGCACGTGCATCGCCCTTTCCTCTTCTGGGTTTGTGGCGCACATGCGCACACAATGATTTAGCTGGCTTTCGTGCGACAATGCTGAAAAACAGCGGCATGCGTCAGCCAGCTGATGGTCGCACCCGTGCCAGTAACTGGAAGACTAGATGGCTGATGTGCATGCTGGGAAACCGTAAGTTCATTTCCCTCCATGCACATGCTCCCCTTTGCAGCTCCTTTTCCAGGTTGCGCGGGTGACAACTGCGCACACACACTTTTCAGCAGTGTGCCAAAAAGGTTCACCACCTGTTTTAGGATTTTTCAAGACGCTCAAACCACTTTAAAAACTTAAGAAAACACACTGTATATAGCCGGTTACAATTTTACGGGAAATAGTTTATTTATCTATAAACACAAAATAAAATCAGTTCTTTTTTTAAAAAAAAATGACAAAAAAGGTACTTAAATAAGAATGATCTGTGAGAGATGTTATGGCACCAAAAAAATTCAAGACAATTTATAAATTCAGTGGCCACAACCATTTGAGTATGATCTGCTGAGGGATCTTTTTTTTTTTTAACCTTTTCTATAAAGATTTTTTTTAATTAAAGATATGTACATATCATTTAGGCTGTGTAAATATTTTACAAGAACTTTGACAACAGTTCAGCCTGTCCAAAATCACTTTTTTAAGAGAAAAAAAAATGCTTTAAATACAAAAAAGAAAGTGGAAAAACTTCCTTTTCCCCCCCCCCACCCCTCCAATACATCCCCCCCACCCCTTTGCAAGCATAAGCTTGCACCCCAAAATTTTCATTAGTTCTTAGACGCTGGACGGCTGTTT